TTTTATACTTTTTTATTTCTTATTAAGAATTTATGTTTATTTTTTTTATCAAAATATATGTTTTTTTATACTTTTGCATTATTAATAATGCAGAAGTATATAATTATTACTATTATTATAATAATTATTTTTACTCTATATTAATATTTACTAAAAATAGTAATAATTATACACTTTTGTATAAATCTATATTGTATATACTATATATACTAGGTTCACAGTACCTTTAGATACCCTTAATTTATGAAGTCACGGTGAATTCATATAGGTTCATCCGAAATCCACTCGTGAATTCATATGAACGTAAAATGAATCCATATGAATTCACAGTGACTTCATATTTTGTCGTCATCTGAGGGCACCCTGAATCCACGATGAAGTGAAATGAATTGAAAATGCCTTCATGTGAATCCATTGTGAATTCACGAATGTTTACTGGGAAGCTCTGTAAAAAATTAAATAAAGAAAATAGAAATTCGGCTTAATAAGATTTTTTTGTCCAAATTTAATGCTTTGTAAGAATTGGTCATGGATTTTATGAAAAAAAAATTTCTTCCTAGGTTGCAAGAATAAATAAGGTAAAAAGGTCAGTTTTCTGTATTATTTAAGCGGCAAAACTTCAGATTCGATGAGGGACCTCTTAAAATTGAAATTATGAGCTCCGCTTTTAACAGAATATTTGTTCGGACATATTCTACGATATTTTTGGTGGAGAGCAAGAAAAAAACTATTTCGAGTTTTTTTGGCACACCCTAATATATATATATATATATATATATATACGAGCCCTGTCTCAGTGAAGTTGGCCCAACCACTCAAAATATAAAATTTGTAATTTTATGCGATGAAAAGCCAACAATTTTGTGAATTTTCATGTTGTAAAAAATTTTGTGAATTTTCATGTTGTAAAATTTTTTAAAAATATGTGTATATACACATATGTACAGGGCCGGGCCTAAGGGGGGTGTAGGGGGGGGAGTCACCCCCCCCAAAGTCTTAACAGTTGGTTTCAAATCCAAACACGGTTGGCAAAATCTTTAGTACTTGGGTCGGTTGGTTGGGTATACCTACCCTACCAACCAACCCATCACAATAAATAAAATTAAATATAATTTTTAAACTATATAATTTTTAAACTATGTATACCTACATATTTTTTTTTTTTTTAATGTATTTATTAAACCCTAAAAGATTACAAGCATCTACAACAGGTATAAATTAAAGAATATATATTAATACCTACATGTCAAGTTCTCAGTGAGAACAAATAATTTTTTAAATTAAGAATAAATAAGTTTAAGGATGTAAGCATTTTAATATTTTCTGGTAGTTGGTTAAACAATATCACAGCCTGAGAGGAGATCTTCTTGTTTCCCACATTTGAAGAATTTGGTACCACATGGAAATGTTGTCTGGTCCTCCTATTGTGTTCGTGTAAATCACAGTTTAATTGCAGCTTAATTTTGGTAATTAAAATATTGTTTTTTATTTTGTACACTAAGATCATGGAGTCTAGATTAATGATTTCCTGAATCTGAAGTATTCTAAGTTCTTTGTACATTTCTATTGTGTTTGCCATAGGTGGTTTATTAAATATTATTTTTAATGATTTATTTTGACAAATTTGTAAATCCTTAATATCACATTTTCTGGCCTGTCCCCAAATGCATGGGAGGTAAGTTAAGTGTGAATGAATATATGCATAGTAGATCTGGAATTTGGTTTTTTGATTCATTAGGAATACATTTCTGCGTAAAAAGTAGCACATATTGTTGATGGTTTTTTTAACTTCACGTATGTGTTGTTCAAAATTTAGTTTATTGTCTATAGTGAGTCCGAGGTAATTAGCATGTTTTACTTCACTTATTGGCGTATTGTTTATCCTTAGGCTTATTGGTGAAGAGTGTGTATTCTTAAAAACTATATAATTGCACTTATTTTCATTTAACTTAATATTATTTTGACTACACAGCAAACGAAAAATTATAGAAGTGTATAGGATGACTCCGCGTTTGAATATCAAATCTTAAAGTTTTATCATAACTGTATTGAATCGTGCTTTGTTTTTATATTTTTCGGCTCTATACCTATGCACGACTATATTTAAAGTCAAACTCAATGGTGTCTTACAAGATACATTATTTTGATTTTCTATATTCAACAGAGGAGTAGAAACTCGACCCTGTCGAATGGTGCAGTCATATATGTCTCTAGAAATTATTAAAAAAGGGTTCAGTCCAATGGTGCAGCAACTTCGGATTCCTATTCTCCTCAGAGACATAGAAACTCAAGCTTTTCGAATTTTACTGGCAATGATTTTCGTTAATGTCCCCGAGAATTATACAAAAACAGCGCAATGCAATATCGCAACGGTTTCGACTTCTCTTTACTCTACCAAGTTATAGAAACTGGAGTCTCTCTAATACTGTTCTAGTCAATATTTCTGAGAGTATAAAAAGAGGGTGTAATATTGCAAGAAGTTTTGATCTTTTGATGGATGAATTTTCTCATTTCTCCTTATGATTTTGTTGAAAATATAGGAACTATAGTTCCTTTCTTTGGTTTCTTTGTCTGATTTTTATTTACCGTAACAACTCAGGTATGTAAAGCACAGGGGATATGATGTTAAGTATATTTATGTATTATATAAAGTACCTATATTTGTATTAAAAATTTAAGAGGTTATGTTGAAAAATGATCGATATGCTATTAAACTTTAATAATTTAGTAATTAGGTCTGTTGGTAGACCCTGCACTATCTCCACTGGTATATGTTAATTTTGTAATATTTAAATCTGGTTGATGAAAAAGTACACACCAGTGCAGGTTATTGTAGCATCTACGAACAAATGAATTAATGGCCCATTGGCAATTATTCCTTTAGGAAAAATATTCAACACAGCTTAATTAATTAATAAAATGAAAAAAATCACAATCATGTCGTATATAGTTTTTTTTAAGCATAAAATAATTTTTATATTAATACTAGTTCAAAAGTGAAATTATAATTTCAAGGTCGTATACGACCTCTATACTGTGGAGAGTATTGAAACGCTCGACTGACGAATACAACTCTATACCGTAGGGAGATTTAGAAATCGATATTCAAACGTGGCGTCATCCTATACACCTCTATAATTTTCCGTTTGCTGTGTAGTCCAATCACAGATTTTAATAAGGTCTCTTTGAGCATCTTCGAAAATTTCCCTTTCATTACCAGTATAGAATAGTGCAGTGTCGTCAGCGAATAGTGTCATAGAGCCTTTTATATCACAGTTAGTTATATCATTTATATATATTGAGAAAAGTAAAGGGCCAAGCACCGATCCCTGTGGGACACCAGAACACACTAGACTAGTATCACTTTTCTTATCACAGATCTGGGTAAATTAATTTGTGATATCACGTTGAAGTCATTATGATATCATTGAATGATTTTCTCTGCGTTGTCTTGAGATCATGACCGCATACAGATGAGTCCTCATTGTGAAGTCATTATGAGATCATGACATGAAGATCTTAACAGATATTCTACGGAATGCGCATGCGCAATTGACATCAAATTTGAATTAACCGCGAAATTTAAAATTATATAAAAGACTTGTTATATTTTCAAAAAAATACAGAAAATTTCCGCAAATAAAGTTTTTTCTTCTAAATAAATGTTCTTTAGAGTCTACAGAACATTTTAGAAAAAAAAACTTTATTTGAGGAAATTTTCTATATTTTTTTAAAAATATAACAAGCACGATGTGTAGATTTTAAAATTGGATATAGAACATTATAATTCTAGGGTGAAGAATTATTGGGTAAAAGTAAAACAATAAAATACTTCAAAGTATATATATTTACTGTTATATACAGGGTGCCCGGAAATAACATTTGGAAACTTCGGGAGCTGATTTCTTGGACAAAAATAAGACAAAAGTTTCTGTGGATATGGGTCCGAAAATGCTTATTAACGGAAGTACAGCCCTCCAAAGTTGGGGCCCTAAAGAAGGTTTTTATTAATTATCTCAGGAACCGTGCAAGATAAAATAATGAAATTATGTACTAACTTTTTTATGCTCAATAAGGTAGAGTAAAAATATTCTCAAAATTTTCACCAGGGGTGGGTCAAATTGGTTAAGGTGGGGGGTAAAAATTGCCCTAACTTATTTGTATGTGCATTTTTTTTTATTTTAAAATGAAATTCTGAAATATTGAAGCTTTTTACAGAAAAAAAAGGTACTCTTGTTCAACTTTGATATTTTTGAGTAAAATCGATTTTAACATCTCAATGCATGCCTAAAAATGTACCTATTTAATTTTGACTGATCAGTCAATCAATTTTAATTTTAGAGATAATTTTCATTCATCTTACTGGGCATAAAAAGTTAATGAATATAAAAAACATTTTTAACAAAATAGGGTAAAATTTATGTTTGAAATTAAAATCAGCCAAAATCACATACATTTTTGGGCATGTAGGTATTGAGATGTGCAAATCGATTTTATTCAAAACGGTGCATATCTTATCAAAGTCGAACAAGAGTACCTTTTTTGTAAAAAGCTTCAATATTTCAGAATTTTATATCAAAATTGAAAAAAATAAATACAAATAAGCCATTTTCCCACCATCCCTGGTGAAAATTTTGAGAATATTTTTACTATTTACTATAGTAGTAACTATCTTATTGGGCATAGAAAAGTTATTACATGTACATAATTTCATTACTTTATCTGGCACGGTTCCTGAGATAATTAATAAAAACCTTCTTTAAGGCCCCAACTTTGGAGGGCTGTAGTTCCGTTAATAAGCATTTTCTGACCCAGGTCTATAGAAACCTTTTTTCTTATTTTTGTCCAAGGAATCAGCTCCCGAAGTTTTCAAACGTTATTTCCGGGCACCCTGTATATTGTTGTAAATAACATTTATTTATTAATAATTATTAATTTAATTAAATGTATTTATACAATAGGATTTCTGATTCTTCAGGATTTTCTAACTCATTTTCTACCTCATCTTCTACCTCATCTTCTAACTCATCTTCTACCTCATCTTCTACCTCATATTCTACCTCATCTTCTACCGTTTGATCTCTTACTTCAATTATTATTTCCTCTTCTTTGGTCTTTTTTATTCTTTGTTTTATGGATCTAAAAACTTCGTCGATGTGAAGTTTTAGCTCAGCGTAATTCGCTGGGCCACTAAATCGGTTACATTCCTGGGCAGCATCTGTAATAATATTATGTATAAGTAAACTATTAATTTAAAAAAAAAAGTATTTTTTTTTAATCAATTAAAAAAGTTATTGCTTTTTTTCGTAATTTTTCTTAGGACGTTGAGCCGCATGTGCCCACTGGTGGGAATTTCAAGTTTACTCTCAGGGACCACGTACACTTTTTGGTTAGGTATTTATTTGCCCACCAGTGGGTATGTGGTCCCAGAGAGTAAACGCTGCAGCGTGAGAAATCACGACGCGTGGGGCTCAACGTGTTAATGGATGTTCATGTTCACAGAGTACGTAACTGTGAACATGAACATCCATTAAGACGTTGAACCCCACGCGTATATTTCAAGAAAATTGTTTGTACGTTTTTCAATATAAACTTGATATTTATTCGGTATAATATAATAATAATTGAAAATTATTGACAAAATATATCATATTCTTGCCTATTTTATAAAAGTTATAGATAAAAAATATTTACAGAAAAATCTTTTCTTATGAATAACATATGTGATAATATTATCCAGATAAGAATCAGGTTGCAACCACTTTTTAAAGCTGTTAAAACTTTTAGCACATTTCGCGAGGAATAGCATTTTTTTAAATATTTCATTTTAATGTTATTATTTATTTAAAATGTTTACGAATGTTTATAATTAAATTATGATTTATAGTTTTTCTGTTATTATAACAGAAAAACAAAATCATAATTTATTTAAATTTAATTAAATTATGATTTATAGTTTTTTTGTTATTATAACAGAAAAACAAAATCATAATTTAATTTGTTCAAACTGCTCATTATTATAAAATTAAAATCTTATTATACCAAAAAATATCATTTACATATTTGTATGTTGTGCCAAAAACAAAACACAAAATACTTAATTTTACTCAAAATAGGTAATGCTAGGTATTTTACCCAGGAACATGGCACACAATTGTGTCTTAAATAGCATTTTATTGCCCCTATTGCCACACCAACTAAATTTTTCAACTAGCTCATCAGCCATGCACTCTTCTACCATGAGGTATGCAAAGTTTCGTAGCTTTTCTGCCCCAATTACAGCCAACCGCGAAGCCTAGAAAGGGTTTAAAAATGAATATCAACAAAAAGATTTTGATATTAAAATAGTGTTGTTATTTTGATTTGAGAATCTTAAACTTTGGATGAAATAAAATAAATTACTGAATTTTTTAATATTCTGCTATAAAAATACTATTTAAATATTTCTCACCATTTCTGATCTTTTTGAATCGTTTTCTGGTTTCTCCATTTCTTCAAACTCTTCAATCGTTTTTAATGGGAAACCTTCAACTGCTACTGTGACCAATTGTGATGGTTTTGAATGGTCTATTTTTTCTTCCAATGCCAACATTTTTTCGTTTATTTCCCGAAGACAGTTCTCATTATTAGTAACTCGTTTTTCGATGTTCCTGAGAGTAGATTTAAATTTAATAATGCAGAATTTGATTTTTTTGTTATTTATTTTTGAAATATATTCAAATGTATACTTATTAAGAAACACACTATATAGGGATACCAGGGTTTACATTTACCTTATTCTTTCATTGCTGTCTTGCAATAACTCCCATACTTTCTGCAGCACGTCATTTTCTTGGTCAGTCTCTTCAGTTTCAGGTATATATTTGTTGGAATCAAAATCAAACTCAAGTATAGCCTTTTCTTTCTTTTCACTACAAAGCACAATGACAAAAAGGCATGAAATATAATATTACATATGGTGAATAATTTGCTAGAGTACTTGAACAAGTAAAAAATGCGAAAACCAGATTTAATTATGACATAAAAGTGTATCTGCAAATTTAAAAAAATTATATCAGATTTTGAAAAAATCAAACAATTCTGATTTCAGAAGTTTTTATATAATTTTAATTGACAATTTTTCTTAATGTACTTTCGACTGCTTCACACGCAGTAGCCAAATAATTATTTTAAGTGAAACTTACTTTATGGCCTTTTTTTGTAAAATATTTTTGTTTGAAGACTTTTTTGTCTCTGCCAAAATCCGCAATGTGGACCATTCTTCGAGAAGGCCTTTCTTACTGGGACATATGCTGCGAGAATCAGATTCAGAAGAATCAATGTACTTTGGATTTTTAAGGGGAACTCGACCTCTTGATGTCGATGGCATCATTCGCTTTAGTTTTTTTCTATTCATTTCTTCCATTGCTAATTACTGAAATTGCATCAATGATCACAAGTTTCAATAATAAAAATATTAATAATAATAATAATAATAATACCTAAATATCTTTATTGTAAAAATTACATAAATTATATATTAAATTATTTATTTTAAATGTTTTCTGGTAGTACTAATTCAGAAATGGAAGCTGAACAAATAAATTCATTAGCAATTACGCTTTCTTCCATTCCCTCAACTTCACAAAATTTCGGTGTTATGAAACATTTTGCTCTGACATCTCGAATAGAAATTGTTTCTAGCTCATTTGACAAATTTTTGCATTTATATACGCCGGCCTTATCCGAAGTGTAACCTACTTCATAAACAGATTCTGCCGTTGTGAATTTACATACAACAAAGAAAAGGTTCTCTTGTAATTGAACAATATTTCGTATAATACAAACATTCTGATTTTTTAAAATGCAACATGAGTCACGCAAGTGCATGGAAAATCTAACGGTACCTATGATTATAGTTTCAAATTGCTGGCACATTTGCCCTTCAAATGTATTTGGCAATGGACCGTTAAAGTGAACCTTTTTTCTGACTACTTCAATAATGTCATTAATTAATACTGGATCAACATCATTACGCTCTTTAACCCTTTTATAGTATTGCTCCAAAACTTTTTCTGGTTTCCTTATATTTTTAGTTATTTCTCGCATGTTATTTTCAAAGCAAAATGCACTGTATGACTCTATTCTTCCAAACTTTCTTACATCTTCAACAACATGTAATAAGCCATGTATGTTGTATGAAAGAAATTGTTCCCCATACAATATTTTCGCCATTTGTACAAAAGATTTTAAAGCATTTTCACAGAATACGAAATGTTCTTCTTCAATCTCAACAAAGCTGAGTAATCTAGTGACACAACTCAGAAGCATGAAATGCCGGTAACATTCATCCGAAATCACGTTCTGTAAAACAGCACAAGCTGTGTAGAGTAAAAACTGTCTAAACTCTGTCGCTTTAAAACGGCTATATTTTGAAAGGGGAGCTGGGCGTCGTCCGAAGTCAGACGAACAATAGTCTCTTATTATTTGCATTCTGGCATTAAGAATATTTATTTTTCTCGCGTTTAATCGAGTATGAGCGTATTTGCCCTCCAAAATCGCAGATAATATTTTTTTTGTTACTCCCAAATAAATCAAGTGCATGCACTCGAATGGCACTTGAGTTACTAGGCCCATGATTGCAGATAATGGACTAGAACCTTTTTGATGACCATCGTAAACGAGATTTCGGTAATTTTCATCGGTTCTAGGGTTATGTTCAACGCCAAGAAATACGGTAGGACCTAAGTGTCCATTGCCCTCAACCGAACATTTGGAACAAGCATCACAGGACATATGACCAAAATGATTTAACGCAAAGGCTCGCGCGGGAGCGTCGGCAATAAAGCATCGAATATGAACAGGTATTAGTCTATTCTGAAAATTGATTCCACCGTTTTCAGTAACCGTTGTAATTTCAGCGACAAATTGGTCGAAAAATTCAAAGGGATCCGATGGTTTAGTATCACTGACGAAAACACCGGCAAACAGTGGTCGTTTCGGAAAAACATTAAACAGTCTAAATTGAATAGGCCAAAACTGAAGACTACCACTTTTAAAAACTTGACCCCCATCAGTACTAAAATCAATGTAAATTAATTGTGGAATTTTTAATGGTGACAGCAGACGTAATTTTTCTATTACAAGGTTTTCAAAACCAAAATGTACATACTTTCCTCCAGAAACATTTTGGATAAGATTGCGAACTACTGTAGAAGGAGTAGCCATTATTGTCCTGGGATCTTTTGGGACGTGTAATAAACCAAACGGCTCACTGCGCAAGGTTCTCAATATTACTTTTTGCTGTGCATGGGACATATTGGCGGTCAAGAATGCGTTCTTTAATGATCTAATACAATTATATCTCAGATCTGGGGGAGCCTCAGGAATGACATCAACAATTTCAATGTTTTCATTAGGATCTTCTTCGCCTTCATTGTCTACGTCATCTCTTTCGTTTTCGTCGCTATCTGTTTCGTTTTCTCTAGAATCTGTTCCATCTTCACTTGAAGGGGGATCTGGACCGACTTCGAGATCAGACTGCTCCTGATGATCAAAGTTTGATCCGCTTTCAGATAACTCGCTTGATACGCCGTCACCAATGCTTCTAGCAGCATTTTCGACAGGTCGCCCATTACTTTGCGACAAGTCTATGGCATGTAATTCTCTAGATGTGCTGGCAATAGAAGCGTCTTGTACGGTACGATTTGAATGCAAAGTTTTTCGTAAAGTTTCAATTTTTCTGCGCATTTGTCTAGGTCCGATATCCCAATTTTTTTTGAACTTTGATGACATAGTATCTAGTTGATATTCTATGAAACATCTATGATTAATTATACAGACCCTATATTACAGGGTGTCATCAAATAAGTTGTCATCCCTTGGGGGGCTGATAGTTCACGCCAAAGAACGAAGTTTTTCCTCTACCACTTTTGCATTAGTGCTCTTTTGAATAAAAAAAATCATGAAAATCTCTGCGGAGAGATTAAAACAACTGAATAAGTGCAGCGAACTCCACGCCTCTTTACTATCTCTCTGTAAAATAAGAGTCCGCTCGCATCACGTGTACAGGGTGATCCCCTATAATGTCGCCCCCCTTTAACTTTTTTATTTTAAGTGTCCGAAAAAATTTCAAAGTTTTGTTATGTAGGTACTAAAAAATACTTTTTTTCTACGTATAAAGAAAATTGGAAAATCAATCAGTATACAGGGGAAAACAAAAAGTTTTTTTTTCAATGAATCACCCTATATATTTATTTATTTTTTAATTCCTTGTAAAATTCTAGGCATATTTCATATAACATACCATATACCTAAATTCAACCGTTTCTGAAATATTTAAATTATTTTTAAGATAATAAGTTGAAATAGTTTGTCTTTCTGCCTGAGTAGGCCATTTTTACTTATTTAACAAGACATATTGACATAATGTCACTATAATAATTTATTTTCAATAAAAATTTTGGTATACTGAGGCTTCTTGATTTCTAACAGTTTAAAAAAACATTTAATGATAACATTTCGAATGCGAATATTTCAGAAACAGTTGAATTTACGATATGGTTTGTTATATAAATTATGCTCAGAATTTTACAAAGAATCGAAAAATAAATTCATATATAGGGTGATCCATTGAAAAAAAAATAAACTTTTTGTTTTTCCCTGTATATTGATCAATTTTTAATTTTTTTTAATACGTAGAAAAAAAGTATTTTTTAGTACCTACATAACCACACTTTTAAATTTTTTGGGACACTTAAAATAAAAAAGTTAGAGGGGGGCGACATTATAGGGGATCACCCTGTACATTGCTAAGACCGAAAATCTTAAGTTTTAATTGATTTAACTAGGCGACTCTACTTCGATCGTATGCTTTCACGTTTAAGTAGGCAAGGTTAAAACGAGATCAATGGACACTAAACAAATCGTCAATTTTTTATAATGTTTTTGTATTCAAAAACAATAGCACTAATGCAAAAATGATGGATGAAAAACTGGCTTACTTTGACGTGAAATATCATCCCCCCCAAGATATGACAACTTATTAAATGACCCCCAACAAAATACAAAAATCCTTATTTTTTTGCAATATTTTGTTTTATGCGGGGTTTAAAAAATCAGGATTAAATCCTGATTTTTTAAATTTTTAATTTCAATCAATTTTTTTTTTCAAATTAAATTTTGGATAAAAAAATATTAAAAAACTTAAAAAACAAAACCCTTTTATAACAATATTAAAAAAATAACAAAATTCATTTATTATAAATTTATAAATAATTTTATTTGTCAATTTTTATTAGGAACTTTCTTTATAAATTGACATAATATTATTACAACGAAAAAATAATAAATACATTTAAAAAAAAACACTTGATTTAAATCATTTAATTTAAATGATTAAAAAAATAAGGAAAATAAAATTCTACTTTTAAACTCAATATCAAATTTTCGAAATCTAAATATTTTTAAACATGCAATTTTGACAGTTACAGTAACTGTTCTCATTTGAAGAAAAAAAATAGTACTTAAATTGTTAAAAATATATCGACTATTAAAAACTGATTATATAGGTATATATATATTATACAAAAAACTAAATTGTGTCAAAATGTATCTTAAAACATTTTGAATTAAAAAGCATTCCAAAGAAACCCAAATTTGATTAAAATTATTAAAACTGCATCGAAGGGGTCAAAATATACCTAGAATATGTGATTATATAAAAAAAAACTGAATTTTGTCAAAATGTTAAATATTAAAATTATTAAAACTGCATCGAAGGGGTCAAAATATACCTAGAATGTGATTATATAAAAAAAACTGAATTTTGTCAAAATGTAACTTAAAATACTTATTTTGAAAAGTGCTCCAAAGAAAACCAAATTTAATTTAAATTAACAGTGGGCATCAAAGGGGTCCAAAATAATAATTAATATACGTATAGGTATATATCGACATACTCCTTAGGTACCTATACGTATAGGTATACCTAAGGAGTATGTTGATATATGCATTGAATAACATATTATGTTATTTCATACATGTATTGTCAATTGACATCCATATTAATTATGATTATGAACCCCTTCAATGCACATAATTTTGGGCACAAACTGAGGTTAACTAAATATTTTTGCATATCATGAAAATGCATTTACCTATCTTGTTTTTGCAGTAACTCGACGATGTATATTGTGTTATATAATATGTATTATATAATAATAATATTATTATTATTATGCACATAACACATTTTAATACAATGCTTTCTTGCTATTTATAAGAATTCTTTTACCAAAATATTTACCTGAGATCACTTTTCCACTTATGAATAACGATCGATCGTTGTTTTTTGATATTGGTATAAACGGTTTATAATAAACCAAACTCGATAATATAATTATAACTACACAAAATAAAGTCAAGCGAAAACACAGAAACGAGGTTATAAAAATAATTTACCACGTGGCCGTTTCATTGCGGTCAGGCTCGAAGCGCGAAATTTAAATAAAATGTTTACACCTCATGACAAACTCATAACATGATCAGAAATCATGAGATGAGCTCATCATGAGGTTAGTATGAGTTCAAAACGTGAAATCATAACATGATGTTTTTATGAGATCACGGATGTTGTCCGGGAATTGTTTCCTATTTTGGAGATAGCTAGTAAATATTTTAAAAGCTTGATTCTGAATGCCAATTGATAGTAGTTTCCTAAGAAGTATTTCATGATCTACAACGTCGAAGGCTTTGCATAGGTCAAGAAATATAATCATTGTTGTTTTCTTTTGATCAATACTTAAAAATATGTCTTCCATTAAGTTTGTTATAGCAGTAAGGGTGCTTTTCTTGCTACGAAAACCATGTTGCTGTTCACAGATGAAGTTGCTTTCTTGTAAGAACTGCAGGAGTCGTTTGTTCAGCGTTGTTTCAAATATTTTTGAGAAGACTGATAGGACAGAGATTGGCCTATAATTGTTTACGTCCGTCGTTTGGCCCTTTTTAAAAATAGGTGTGACTCTAGCTATTTTTAAAATGTCTGGAAAAGTTCCAGTCTTGTAGTGTTTATTTATTATTGATGATACCACTGTTGATAATGGCTCGGCCAATTTTTTTATCAGGGAAACTTTTATTTCATCATGTCCAGGGCGTCTTATTTTTCTAGATTATTATTTAGTTGAAGCTTATCTAAGCTAAGTAAAACTATTTAGTGTCAATAAATAGGAAATATTTTTTTTAATATGGAAAAGAAAGCTAGACCAGGCCGAGTTCTAGTAAAATGCTCATTATGTGGATCTGTGATTAACAAGGACTAGAAAAAAATACATGAGAAAAATATTCACGGTGGAAATTTGGTTAAAATTAAAATTGTTGCTGTTCCGGATAATCCATTTACATTGGCAGCAAGTCAAAAAATAGAGAACGAGAATCAATCCCATCGACTTCGAAAGAGCATGCTTATGGTAGGTAAAGACATTCTTTATCTACACTTTACAGCACTTTACATACATGATAAAACTACTGAAAATTTTTACTATTACTAGGTACTAAAGTATCGATAAAAAAATAAGTTGGTTTTTTTATCGTCTCCACCCCCCCAAAAAAGTGTGCCTCGGTACGGCCCTGCATATGTATATTATTTAGTTTTAAGTTGGATGTTTGGTTACAATACAAAAAAATCGACAAAAATGCATTAACTTGGATGGCCAGATTTTTTAATGCAAGTCGGCTGTGCTAAAAGTAAAGATATTTGACATTTAAATAATTGTAAGCAAGTCGGTAGTGACATTCCAGTATACTTATGCTTTCGGTGTGGTTGACAAATAATAATGTCCCGAGGAAAAGCTGTTTCTGAAGAAATAAGAAAAGTCACTTGCATTTAAAAGGAAAATCCGCTGCACAAATCGCTGAAACTGTTAATTTGTCACGATATACAGTGCGAAATATTATTAAACTGCACAAAACTACAGGATCTGTGGCGCAGAAACCAAAAATGGAAGTCGTCCTCACTATTCTGATAAAAATTTAAGGACTTTAAGAAGAATTATCGTTCAAAATCGTAGGGCTAATTACGGTGAATTAAAAGTTTTGTGGAATCAGGCAACGAGTAAATGTTTTTCAAAAGCAACCTCTATAGAGCTGCACAAAAACTTGGGTTTAAAACTTACAAGGTTTGCTTATATATAATTATAATGTATACGATTTTTATTTATTTTTAATTTTACTATCTGTAGGCAAAGGAAAAACCTTTATTGACAAAAAACAGAAGAAAAATAGACTTCTCTGGGCAAAAGAGCACAGGACTTGTGTCAAAATCAATGGGATTCAATTATATGGAGTGACGAAGCTAGATTTGAAGTTTGCGTTGGTGATAATCGAAGCCGAATCATTAGAATTAAAGCAGAAGTCTTTCACAATGACTGTCTTAAGAAAAAAGTAAAGTTTCCGGCCTCTGTGATGATTTGGGGATCTATGTCAGCTAAAGGGATCGGTAAATTACACTTTGTAGAGGGCATTATAAATGCTGATAAATATATTTACGTTCTAAAAAATAACTTAAAACCGCAAATTGAAGAAATGCGTTTAAATGATATTGAATGCATCTTCCAACAAGATGGTGCAACGTGTCATACGGCTTAAAAAGTGAAAGCTTGGATGATAAAAAATTTAAAATGGACACCTAGTAGTCCAGATCTTTCGCCTATAGAAACTTTGTGGCATATTATGAAAAAGCTCAGAGAACAGCCCGCAAGAACCGTCTTAGAGTTGCGTGCTCGCCTGCAAGAAATTTG